GTGAACGGGCACACGGGCGAATTTTTCGATCGATTTTAAAATTCGCGGCGATCGGGCGATAAAAATTGCTCGTGTGCCCCTCCTACCTTTAGGCAATTATTCATCATATACAATAGATATTTTTACAATAAAATTCTGAATTCATAAAATTAGACTACCGTCAACCGGGGCTACTTTGAACAGTTTTTCCAGTAAAAACGAAAAATAAAACATTTGGGTTATCACCCTCTAGAGACCAGGAATAGATTTAATGATGGAAAAAAATTATTTTTTTTACCATAACTATTTTATTTAACATCACAGAACATGAAAATTGCAACATTTGAAAAAAATTCAACCCCTGTGCCCTTTTTTGGGTTGGGGTCATATATGACCCACTGGGTCTTTGGGGAACCTTTGGCGCTTCGACTTGGATGATACTGGATAATATATTTTCCCAATATGAACAGCTACACCCGTTTACTGTCTGTCTATTTTGTCTTGGGGGGCCATACATTTAGTATGCACGCAATGATGGGGGGGGCTGGTCTGATAATTCATGTGTCATTTGACTTGTGTACGCCTGCACATTTGTCTGTACATTTTTGCAATCCTGACTTTTATGCATACATACTAAATGGATGGCCCCTTTAGGGTCCAGATGTGTGGTATCTACATGCACTGTCACATTTTGTCGTAAGCCTTGAAACAATTCCGATTTTCATTGAAGCACAGTGGTTCCTCGCACTTCTCACAGTAGGTGTTTGTTTTCAGCGATACACATAGGTCACAGCGACGCCTTTTTTCACATTTTAGCGCAAAGGATCCCACGCAATCTTCTCACCTGCTTACGCCAAAAAAAAAACGAAAAGAACGCAAGAAAAAAAAGAAGATTGCGGAAAGGGAAGCGGTAGCCAATGGCCGAGTGGATGATGAGAAAACAAGGAGAAAAGAAGACGAAGCGGATTTCACCATACGTCCACCGCGTGGCAGCACGGTGGCACGGTGGCACGCACTGTAGCATGTACAGTAGCTACAATGTTATGATACACACGTGGTGATCATACACACACGCATGCACGCAAACACCTTCTAACTTGAACCCCACAGGTCCTTTTGTGCTAAGGTTGCCTGGTTAATGACTGATGCGGGTAGTTGCACGCCACCCGTTCACCTTAAGGCTATGTTACTAGCAAGTTAGCATGCCTTAGAGGGTGATTAACAGTTAAAAGGTGCATAAAGGAAGTAAGAGAAACGGGGGAGGGAGCGGATGCAGCGGCTGGCTAACGTACAAGATGACGTTCATGCATGCATGCCTCAAAGGGTGCATCCAACCGACTGATAGGTCTCTCCCTTAAACAGATGGCGACATATCATTACAGAAATGCCATCCAGGGACCCAGATAAAAAAACCTCGGGAGACCCACTGTCGTCCCCGGCAGGCTGTAGAATCGCATGTAGTTGCGTGCCGGGGCAAATACACTGTCTCGCACGAATAACACAAAAAATACACTGTCTTTCATGAATAATACGAGAAATACATTGTCTCGCACGAATAACACAAAAAATACACAGTCTTTCATGAATAATACGAGAAATACACTGTCTCGCACGAATAACNCACCACTGTATACAAACGTAATATCACTACTTGTGGCGATCGTTCGCCTGCATGCGTCCATCAATCGCAGAAGTCGTATGTACACTAGAAACACACATCGTCACTGTCGGCGAAGCAGATGGCAGCGCAAGCCTTCTCCGCGCAGCACTCGTTTGGCCCGCGGTGTTGTCGGGCAGCTCAAACTTGTGCCGCGGCTGATCAGGTGCTTGCGCTGCTGGAGACAGAGCCCGTGCAGCTGGTAGAGGTTCTGTGCTGACGGCCTCCGGGCGTTGTATCTTGATGCCCTGCTCGAGCTTCTGGCGCTCATGGAGTTTCACACGCTTGAGGTGCCACTGTGTCAAGGTGGTGTGGTTAATGTCCATGAGCTGGATGTCCGTGGAATCCAAGACACGAAGATTGCTCAGCAACAACGCCCGGATGCGCGAATAGGCGCGGCCGACAAGAGTCCACCGGCTTGCTCTCCGGCAAGCACGCTTTCCTCCGGCTTTCCTCTGGTCTCCTTCCTGGGCTTTCTCGGTTGATGATGTATCCGCCGCGCACAGCTTGATCACCAACGCCTCCATGATGCGGTTGCAATCGGGCCACTGTGCGGGCCCCGAGTTCTCGCCCAGGAAGCACCTGGATGGAGGCAGGAATGCAATTAGCCTCAAATACAATCATGACGGCTTACATATATAAAGTTGTTCAGCCGAATTAGTCTGTTCTCACATAACTAGAGAACTCTGCAGCCTAGAGGAAAGCTAAAGATATTTTCAGAAACAGCACGTTTGGGAGGTGGTTCTGGCTGAAACAAACATTTAAAAAGATTAAAAATTACTAGCAATTAATAACAATAGATGGCGGTGTCACAGTCGTCATATTCATGGCACATCCAAAATGCATAATTGCAATAATCCTTACTTACACATAGCGTAACGAACACCTAGAACACAGACGTCACGGCTGAAAGCTCGTACAAGTATACAATGAATAGATGAAATCGTTTGAATACAATACGTCCATGATGTATTAGAAATTGATGTAGTACACAGTTATTACACAGTAACGAAATGTATAATCAATTTATTACCTCTTGGTGCTGTCGACCCCGGGCACTG